AAAACATAAAAGATGAACAAATTCTACGATGCCAAGGCTCAAGCCTTGACACACAGTGGAATATGTCAGCATGAAAAAAATAATCTTAAGTCACTGTTCCAAAAATATTCCCAGAGCTCACAGGGACAGTTCCCACTTAGAGAAGCACAAGAGCAGCAGTGACAGAGCTCTGAGCCACGGGCTCTCACACTCTGTGCTGTGAACATCATTATCTACACACCTAGGGCTAAGGCAAAGTTTTTAAACAGCTGTCACACCTTATCTAAGTGCCAGCACACAACTTTAACAGCCACAGAACAACGATGCCAAACCCCTCTACTTTTTGGTGAGGGGGGAAGAAAAAAGGGGCCCACACCCAGCAAGATGAATTCCTGCCCTCGCTGCACTGAAGGGCACATCACAGTGATTAGTGAGCTGACCAGGAGAATCACAAGCTTGTGCACAAGCAAAGTAATTCTTAAATGAAACCAGCAGGGAATAAAAGAAAATGCTCTGCTGCTAAAGGAAGCTCAGACATACTTTTTTGAACCCAGTCATCCAAGTGCAATTATTAAGCTCTGTTGTTTCTGAATACACTTGGCCTTAAAATATTAACATGTGCTTTTTGTTTTATGCCTCAGACTGCATGAAATGAATTAAATACACCCAAAATGGTATGAGCAATCTCTCAAACACTAGCTAATTTAACAACTAATCTTCTGCTTTAGTATGAAAGGTAAAGATTTAGGTTTTTCAATCATATGAGGCATCATCCTACAGTTCATGTGTTAGGCATCTCTCCTGTCCACTGGCAACATTATTTGAGGCAGGCCTGCAACATTTTCACTTAATTAAAAAAAAACCAACAAGCAGATGCATAACCACTTCAAATTTTTATATTTTATGCAGCTGGGAGTTCAGCTGACTTTTTTGAGAGTTATGAAGGTGAAACTTTAAGGGCAAAATGTAGCAATATCTGCTGCTGCTCAAACTTTGACACAGTATTTATTTTTTTTTCTGGGCAGTAATTAGCCATGCTGGTTTGCATGTGCTCAGAGTAATGACACACACACACAAATAACACTGCACTTTGTGACTCACGGCCATGCCTTCGCAGAAATTACCTTGGTCACACTCTGTGCACCAAACACCGTGGGGAGAACCCTCCAGTGGGGACAGGCAGCCGTGTTTTGTTTTTTAGCTGAACAATTTATTTCAGTGAACAATCTATGTCTGACTGAAAAGCCATCCAACACCCCCCCTTTCCCCCCCAAACCTGTATAAATATTTTGTTTCAGTCGAGTTTGAATGGCAGAGTAAATGAGTTTCATCCTTTGTTTCAACCATAACAGTGCCTTGTTTGAAGTTGCTATTTCAAGCTGGGAGAGCTGGGCCTTTATTTTTCAAAGATGTTATTTCCTGAGACCCTTCACTCTGTGAACTTACAGCCGGCCGCCACCACTGGAGCTTCATTGTTAATTGTCTTTTTTAGGGGCACAAATATACAGCCTTTCCTTTCAAATTCAGGATGGCTCTGTTTATTTATGCTGCTGAATGCAAACTCTCTTTGGAGGAGGCATCCCTGGTGCTGCAGGGATGCCAGGAGCACTGGGAGGACGTGCAGGGCTCTTCTGGACCATGAGAGCCCACCAGACATTTTTGGGGCTCCCAGCAAAGGGCTGCTCCAGGAGAAGGGAGGAAGAGGAGGAGGAGGAGGAGGAGGAGAAGGAACACGTGCACCCCAAACCTCCTGAGGCAGAGGAGCTGAGCCAACATGCAGATGAGGGCCAGCACAGCACGAGAGGGATTTTCACTGCCCTGTGTGTCCCTCTGTGGCGCAAGAGGAATTCTGGAGGAGTAAGTCACAGCTGCTCCGAGCTGCAATGCAGCCCTGCCACATACCTGCCTCCTCACATTCCCCCTCCACGCTTCAAACCTCGGCATTTTTAGCATCTTATTCCCCCTCTTTGTTGTCCCCAGTGAGAAGATGGTGTGCAGGCAGCAGTGAAGCATTTCCCTGACCATCAGCTGCTGCCCTTCTTTCCCTCCAAGGAGCTCAGCCCTGCAGCTGCTCAGATCAGAAATATGGGGCCAAATATTCCCCTTGGACAGCCATCCATTGCCAGGTACTTCAACATAATCTAGCTGGTTCCTTTACTTAAATTCATTACAAGAAAGTAACTCTTCTGCTTATTTCTGAGGCACTGTTGCAGAGAAAGGCAGTAAAAAAACCCCAAACTTTCAGCATAGGTCCTCATTCAAACAAAAAATTATGATCGAGAAGGACTGAAAAAAGTCTTACCTATGTAGATTACCACAGAAAAGACAACTTTGTAATGTTTTTTTTTTCTTTATTCTTTACCAGTTTTCTTTCCTTTTCCCTTCCTAGCTACTTCACTCTTGAGCACCACAGCTAGTTTTCCCTCATTCCTACAAAAAAATAAAGCAAAAATATCAGAAAAAATATTTCAGAAGATTGCAGCTAGATGCTGATTCAATTATCCTTAAATTGATACCTAACTCCCTCTTTTGTCTCTGGCTCACAGAGTGCCAACACACACAGGAATAAAACCACAGAAAATTGTGAGGAGGATGGACAGTTCCTAAAATAGAACCAAACACACGGGCACAAAACAAAAACCAAGCCAAACCTATTTTTTTCCTTTGACTCTCTAAGTTAATGATGTGACATTTTGAAAATGAGCTGCGCAGAGGGGACACAGAATTAAAGAGGAACTTGGACTGGAGAGGAAAGTTTCAGCTCTCTGCTCTGACATGCTGGGCTTGCTCTGGGTTTGGCCACTCCAGATCAGAGACTCCCCCAGATGAAGCTTTCACTCACACTGGGAATATTCACTCCCAAATATCGAATTGGCATTTTCCCTGCTGCCACTGTGCACCTCTGAAGGAGCCTGGCTCTCCCTTTGCTCCAACCTCCCATTAAGGAGTTGAAATTAGCAATGAGATTCCCCATTAGCCTGCTTTTCTCCAAACTAATGAAACCCAGCTCCCCCAGCCCCTCCTCATACATCATCCAGCCCACTAAGCACAAACCACTTCTAATGAAGGCTATTTCTACACTAACAATAAGTAAAATTTAATGAACTTAAATACTCTTACATAAGAAGAACTGCTCTAAAAATACAACCTTTCAATAGAGCAAATATGGCCAGGTTAACAGTTTTGCTCTGGGTCCCAGAATGTTAATTTAGCAAGAAATAAATAACTCCCAGCCTTTCATCTTATCTTTCTGACAGATGTTTCCCCTATAAAAAGGGTGTCATAATTGTTTTTGTCAGTGTTATAATTAAAATTGCTATGCAGCTGACATACAGTTTTTAATGGTTTCCCCTAGGATTATAGCAGATGTTGCCTTATTAGAGCAGGGCTCTCCTGGAGTAAGAAATGTCATTGGCATAATCAAGACACATCTTTAAGCCTCTCAAAGTAGACTGTCACAATTTTCCCAGTAACATTTGACCCTAAGGGATGAAATATATCCTGCTTTTCTAAGGAGAAAGTTTTCTGAGGAGTTTGAAAGAAACACTGAAAAAAAAAAAAATCCAGTTTTTGCTACAGCCAGAAATAGCTGGAAGATACAGGAGGGAGCCCTGACAACTGCACCAGCAAGGCCAAAGAAACTGTGGCTTTTTAATGGCAAAAATAATGGCAAAGATAGAGGATCAGCTGAAATCTGGTGAGGAGCTGCAAAATAGCAGTTAGTGGGTTCTTATTATAAGAAAAGTTACAACCCTAGGACACAAGTGTTAATTTGAAATGGGACTTTAAATAAAGCAATGTGCAACAGCAAGCTTGATTCTAAGTGCAGTCTGGATCCCTGGTGTTCACTGCAAATCCAGGGAAGTCAAGGGGGAAGCAAGAGGAAAGGGTGGCTCCAAAGGTCAGCCAGCTGGGAGGGGCACATGGGTCCCTGGTCTGAAGGCACACAAAGTGTTTAGTATCATAAAATAAATAAATAATATCATAAATAAATAATACCATAAACGAATCATTTGTAGGTGATTTGGCAAGAGAATCAGGCAAGTTACTTGGCTCCAAACTAAGAAAAGCCACCCAGACCTGCTTGTCTACAAAACCAGGGGGAACTCACTTGGACGAAATAAATTCAGCAGAAAGTAACTTTACATTTTGGTGTCACTGAGCTCCTTGCAACTTTCCAAGGGCCACCAATTTTTATTTTTTTTCTTCCCAAGGTGTGAGGAACGCCAACTCTGTTTCACAGGCTGCAGCGTCAGGCTCTGCGATTCGCAGGCTGCGGCTTTGCCGCGCCGCATCCCGTTTTATATTAAGAACTCCCCAAAATAATTGCGGAAGGTGCGACATGACATAATCCCTGAAGTTCCACAGCACCGAGTGTCGCAGTTTGCTGAGGAAAATCATAGAATCAGGGTGGAAAAGATCTCTTGAGAGCATCGAGTCCAACTTTTGACAGTGCACTAAACCATGGCACCGAGTGCTGAACACTTCTAGGGATGGTGACTCCACCATCTAATGCCTTAATCAGCCTTTCTGTGAAGAAATTCATTCTTCAAGAAATTCATTCTTCAAGAAATAGTCCAAATAGACCATTTCCATTTGTAATTTTAGGGGTTAACCCTCCTAATCTCACCCACCTCGACCAGAGGCATTAATTAAAAAACAAGCATGGAAAACGTCCAGCATGAATTATCTCACGTATAACCGGGGAGGGAAGAGGAAACAAAATTTAAAAAAAACAACATCCGTCTGTCAGAACGACATAAAACACCTTTTTTCCCCCACTTTTCCTCCCCGAGCCGCTCTTGGCATCCCCGGCGCTGGCGGAGCGCGGCTGTGCCGGTACCAGCGACGACAACAAGCGGAGGGGCCGGGCTTGAGGGAGGCGGGTCCGGCCGCCTCCCCCCGCCCGCTGAAGAGCGCCTGCGAGGGCGGTCGGGCGGCACAGCGCGGAGCGGAGCCGGGAGGCAGCGGAACCAGCGCGGAGCCAGCGCAGAACCAGCGCGGAACCAGCGCAGCATCACCGCGGGCCGCCCGCACCCGCGGCCCGGCCGGCAGCGCCCACGCACCGCGGGCACCCGCCTGCCTTGCCCGCCGCATCCCGCCCCTTCTGTGCCCCCCTGCTTTGGCCGGGACTCTCCGCCGGGATCAGCGTTGCTGCTGCTGTTTCTGCTGCTGCTGTTGTTGTTGTTGGCCGGCGCGGCCGCATCGAGGATATTTTGGCTCTCCCAGAGGCAGCGGCGCCTCGATCCCTTGGACGCCGCGTGTGGGGCTGGGGCCGCTGCCGGGGAGGGAGCGCAGGAGCGCCGGCATCGGGGGCCAGGTGAGGCGGGGGGACGGAGGGGGGAAAAGGAACAAGGGTTCATGGGGGCTCCGGGAGCTCTCGTTGCTGGTGCTCCCGACCCGTGGGCGCCGCGGGTTCTCCCCGGGGATGGCGATCACAGCCCCGGACCCCCCGATCGGCCTCACCCGGGGCCGTGAGGGGTTGAGGGGAGCGGCCACGGGCTCATCCCCCGGGGGATGCCGCGGCCCCGGCAGGAAGGGGTTAATGGGCAGCGCGCTCTGGATTTGGTTAGGAGTTTAAAGGGACTTAAAAAAAAAAAAAAAAGAGAAAACTGAAACGTTGGGCTGTGTGATCTGCCCACCGAAGTTTTTTATACGTGGGCGAAGCGTGTGTCATGTGTGTGAGGAGCCGGGCTGGCTCCCGGCGGAGCTCGGGGGCTGTGCGGGGCACGCCGTTCTCTCCTACACTCTTCTTAAGAAGGCTCTTTTTTTCCCCTGAAAGAATTGCCATTGAAAAGAAAAGCAACAACCAGCATCATATCCCCTAGCCCGCTATCCCCCCTAAAAAAACTCCCCAAAAAATCAAGGAGGAGGAATAACACTGGAGGGACACCAGATCCCCAGCGCGCTTCCCTTGTCCATGTGGATGCTGCCCAGCTGTGCCCAGCTGTGGGCAGGCACCTGGCTGCTGCTGAAAAGACGGCGATCAGAATTCAGGAGTATTAGTTAATAAGTGCCTGATCCTGTTGACCCTGTTCTGGTTCACCCACTCAGCTATGCGGGGGTGTTGAGGAAGGTGTCCTGCCAGTTAAACCAATTATAGCTGGCAAGTCGCAGTCATCAGCATTAGTGGAGGAGTTGGAGGTGAGGCCCAGTCACACCGTGTCGGGCCGTAGTGGCTTTCCTGAACTTAAAAAAAAAACCCAGCAGCTTTCTAAGTCCAGCAGAAAGGCAGGTTTAACCCTCTGTGCCAATCCACGTTGCCTTTCCAGCTCTGTTTGTCTGTAAAGGGTTTCGTATCTCAGGGCTGGAAATTTGTGCTGCAGATGGGGAGAGAGCTGATGTGGGATGCGCAGAGGGTCTAGAAATTCCTCTGCTTGAGATATTCGGCTGGAGTGTTGCAGAACATGCTGAGGATCTCCATGTGTTTTTCAGCCAGAGCTCAGGGTCTCATTTTTCCAAAGCTTTCCTTCAGAACAAACCCAGCGTGGAGAAAAACGGGCTTGGGTTAATGAGCAATGCCGTGTAATCAACACTTGGTATAAACCTTTTGTCTTAGGGCCCTAAACGTCTCTAAAGAAACAAACAAACAAAAAAAGACAGGAAGGAGAGAATCCCTTTTAGTGGACGGGGAAGTGCCTAACAGGATTTGTGGAGAGGTCAGAATTGCACACGAGTGCCAGGAATCTTATTTGTACTCCTAACCAGGGATCAGACATCAACTTACAGAATATACATAGAATATTTCCTCAAATACTCAAATCCCCAAGCCAGTTATCCCTGGCCACCAGAGCAGAATGCAAAGGCAAAACAAAGGGTGTTGGAAATTGCTATATACTTTTTAAAAAGCCCAGCCAAATGCAAGGATAAACAGTTGTTTAAACTGTGGCAAATTTAATGAACAGATTAGGATGCTTGCTGAGTGAGACTCACGCTGGGTGAAATTCTTTGCTGCTCAATGAGATGTGTAATTTAGATCAAATATTTGTACGTGCTGTTTGAGGTGAAAAACATCATTCAGTAGATTGCACTTTTTGAGTAACATTAATGAATATTCTTTTCAGTGTCAGTTGATTTATTTTGTTTCAATTAGAAGGCCCAATCAAGTTGAAATAGGCCTTTCATGTTAAGGACTCTTGCTATTTTTTTTTATTTTTTTTTTTTAGTTTTATTTTTAAGTGATCAGCTATTTAAAAGGATGAAAGGGCTCCTTGTCTTTGGCTGTTGGATGTTTTTATTTTCCTCTCTGTTTATATGGACGGCTTTTGAATGTGTTGCCATTTTCAACAAGCTGGGCTTATTTTGTTAAGATCCTAATTTACGATTTTTTTCTGAATTTGAAAGTGATTTTTTTTTCCTTGTGTTAACATGGTGAGTGATAGATTTGGCTTGTAGTAAGTGACCACATTTTTGTGGAAATCCTGATAGTGTCCTCTGTGATTTAAATACAAGTGCATGTTTTCAGGCAGTTGCTGTGGAGCAAAGGAATTCACCCAATGCTGTGAAAAAAAGGGAAGGAAAATTAAGAGTGTAGCTTGATAAGGTATCATTCACTGGTACCTGAATTGCAGCATCATGATAAACCTAAACAATGGCCATAAAACTGGCTTTATTCCTTATGTTTGATCTTTCCCATTGGATATGAATCTTATCACTCTTCTCCTTAAGTGATATATAGGAGAAAAGTCACACAGGCCTCACACAACTCTGTTCCTGGTAATGAAGGCAATATGATAAAGGTTTCACTTCTGTGGCATGAACATATTGATAGTGGTCCCATTATCAGCCCTTTAAAAAGGGTATTTTACTGCATAATCCCCTTTTCAATTGAAACTTAAGCCCTCTAAAGCTTTATAAATGCTTTAATCCTGTGTTTAGAAAATGTACAAGGTAATGTGGTTTGGAGTAAAGGAATCAAGGCAGGAGGTTGGGGACCCTGGGAATTGGCTTCTCTGATTGTTTATAAAGGGGTGAAGGTGTATCACAGTGTCACTCCTCTTCCTCTGAAAGCCAAAGTCTGAAGAGATACATGGCCTGTGAGAGGGCACAAAAATAACACAAAACTGATCACCTCAGATAATGGGTGAAAAGTTGGAGCATAGCCCAGAGAGACAGGTACTCAGGGAGCAAGGGGGTTTCTGTGGGCTTTGCAGACAAACACAAATTCTGTGAAAGCTCTCCCAGCTGAAAAACAAGGTGGGAGCTGCCCTGTGTGCTTGGGATGTTGGAAAAGCTTTCCCTGCATCTCACTGCCAGAGCTGGGTCTGGTAACATCTGGTAACATCTGCTTCCTCCTCCTTTGGCTGTGCATTTAATGGGACCCCTCTCCTTTTTCAGATGAGTGACTTTGGGCTCAGGAACATGGACCAAGTGGCTCCTGTGTCCAACATGTACAGAGGAATGCTCAAGGTGAGTGCCCTGGAGCTGTCAGCTCCCAAGCCCAGCTGGGGCAGCTCCCAGCCAGTGCTCCTGTTGTGTTCCTGCAGTGCTAGAATGGGAACTGGACAAGCCAAGTGAGCACAGGTTTCATTGCTCCCCCCTAATCTTCTGCCAGAGTATTCCCACTGAGTTCCACAGAGATGTGAAAAGAAGGACTGAGATAGGAAGGTGCAAATCTTGAACCCTCAACCTTCTCCCCCAGCAAGGCTCCCTCTCTCCATTCCCTAAATTTAAAAGAGGTAGCAAGAACTGAGCTCAGATTTGCTGGTGTTGGTGGAACTTCTGCCAAAATAAAGGTTAAAGGATGGACAGCAGGAGATCTTTAATTTGATGAGACTGGCAGAGGCCTGTCCTGATAGGACTGGTCAGGTTTGGTACCTTCCTGAACCCTGTTTGGATTAAAAGTAGCTTGTTCACTTCCAACTGTTATTAATAGAAGCCAAATACATTGTAATAACTCCAAAAATCATTAAATTTATTTGATCTTTAGGTAGACTGTGCCTGTTACCTTGTTTTTGAAAGGAATTTACAAACTGAGGTCAGCAGACTATAAAGGTTCAGTCTGGAAGGGCTTTCCCCCTCCCCAAGTTGATTTTTACACAGCATTGATCAATGTAAAGGTTAGGGAGACCCTTTCTGCTCTCAGTGGCTTTGAGGAATGGCCATGCTTTGAAGAATCAGTGAGGCTCTGGGATGTTCACTGCTCTAATGCTTTATGTCCCCTCTTAACCTTTGTTTTTCTCCACAAAAAAAATCCAAGAGATCCCCAATTTATCATCTGTGTGCTCTTAACACAGTGGTTACCCTAAGCAGTTTTTCAGTGTTCAGTTTTCATAGAATTAAGTCAGAGATTTGTGTTCTGCTCTGCTGTGGCTGTTCACATTCCATTTTATTTCGTTCTGCAACAATTACATGTATTGAAAAGCCAAACAAAGTAGTTGTGAAACTGATAGGACGAGCAGAATTCATCCTGCATTGTGTTTTTCCTCTTTTACTACTATTAAATGAAGAACATGCTTGCACATTAATTTTCTCCCTTTTGAAATATGAAACCAGCACGGTATGGATTTTACTCATTCACATGCCACAGCATTTTTTCCAGTGACTCAGGAGAAGGGTCATTTACACAAAATGCAGGAGTTTCCAGATTGTGTTGAAAGAACTTGCCCTTTCTTTTAGGTACTAGAGATGAGTCAGAGCTTTTATCTAGTAATGTATAAAGAATCTTTTACCAGCAGATTTGGTAGATGTTATTAACTTGTTTTATTCAGACATGAGCCTTTCCAAGGGCTGCCTTTGACTTAGTGAGTACCTGAAACAGAGCTCCACAATTTGTCCCTGCTGGCCAGGAGATTTTTATGTGAGAAGTTAGGGAATGAGAGGGAAAATTAATCCTAATTTGCTGTTCCAGGAACATAGTTTAGGTTGCATTTTGCATTGCACGTGAATACTGCTCTGAAAAATCCTTGCCTTGTCCTCAGCTAAATCCACTCCTTTGGCACAAGCTGGCAAATCAGCGTTTGCCCAAACCAAATGAACATTTGCAAGTTGCCTTTGTCTCCAGCTCCTTGAAGGGCAGGAGCTGCCATGGGCCAGCTGCAGCTTTCCAGAGCAATGTTCTATCCTCAGGTGCCTTGAAAAAAATCTCAGTGGCGACTTTTATCCATCTTTGCCTCATGATGTTGCAGATAGGGTTTCCCTGTGACTAACAAGCAAGTTTCATAAGTTGTTTTTGAAGTTATTTCCTCCTCTGCTCACATTCCTTCTGCCCCCCAAAGACTAAAGTGGTTGAGGGGAATTTAGTAATTTCATACCAATATTTCTGGCATACACAGTTGGCTCAAGTCGAGTTTGAAAGGAGTTAGGTTTTCAAAATGTAACAATATTTCTTGAATGTCAGTATGCCAGTAAAACCCACTTTTATCTGGAACATTTTTATCAGTCTTGTTTATCCTTTGCTATAAAATGAAAGCAGAAGTGTTTCACTGAGCATCTGAGCACTTAAAAGACTTCAAAATGTGGTTGCTGGCAAATCCAGTAAGGCAGAAGTGTAAAAGTTGCTGCAACATCCTTCCTCAAGTCCTGTAAAGCTGGCTGTGTAGCTCCAATTGATGTGGTTCAGATGAGTTTTATCCTTTAGAAGAAAAAAAACCAAATTCCTAAATCTACTGTAGGTTTTGCACTGGCAGTTTTCCCATAATTTCCTGATCTGCCATCAAATCCTCATCGAGTGGATAATCAATTTAAAGGATTAAGGAAATGAAGATTGCTTTAAAATGTACCTGGAAATAAATATGTATTTATACACACATGTGCATTGTCTATTGTTAAAAGCCTCAATTACAGGAAATAAACCTAAGAATATCTTGATTTGGCTGTACTGTAAGCTGCAGAACACCCCCCACCTCGAGGGCCCTTATCTCAGTGGGTTTTGTTCTCAGTGGGTTTTATTCACGTAGCAGAAGCTGTGCCCTCATTGTGGGTACATTTCAGAGCTGGCTCATTCAAGGTAGTGGTTGTGCATGATCTCCAAATCTAGGAAACCAAAGCCAGACACTTCCTAGCAGAGGAGTTCACAGCTCTCCAGCAAAATGCTGACGTGGTTCTGTGTTTATTCTGTTCCTCTGCAGCGTCAGCCAGCGTTTGACACCTTTGACAGCTCCAACTCGCTTTTTGCTGGATATTTTTGCTCACTCAGTGAAGACCAAACGCTTCAGGAAGTGCCAACAGGATTTGACTCCACTTCTTATGGTAAATCTTCACTTTGCTCCTCAGTCCACTTGGTAGAGCAGAAATTTTTGGGGTCTAGCTAACATTTCCTGGGTGGTTTAATACACAGACTTTTGTGTACGTGCTTGGTTTTATTCATGTGAGTTTCTTTGTGGATAGTTGTTGTTTTCTATACTGAAAAGAAATAGGAGCTGGGATGCAGTAGCCTAATAGACTGATTTTTCATGGAAGAAGCCACAGTAGGAGTTTAGGCAGAGCTAAGAGTTTAAAAATCTTTAAAAAGAGGGTTTTAATGTATTTAAATTTGCAACATCTCAACCATAATTAAAGTGCAAATATTCTGAAAGCTTTTTGATTCTCTGGTGTTAAATCCCAGTATGTTTTATTCCGTACTTTAAAAAATAAGGTAGGGATGCTTTAAGATTTTTTTTTTTTTAATTATTTGTGTGTGTAGGTCAGTATCCCACCAAGAGTGCCTTACATATCCTTGCCAAAAATCCCTGACAAAATGTAGATATTTTACCTGATGCTGCTTTTATCTCCCCTTAGGGAAAGGAAAAAAAAAACTCAAGCCCTCAAACCCAGAAAACCACAGGTCCTTTGTTCTAGTGTGATTCTAATCAGTCACCTGCTCTGGTCAGCAAAGCAAGTGCTTGCAGATGTTAGGAAGGGTGTGGTAGAAGCAGAAGTTAAGCACAAGTGCAGCCTGTAGATAGTCTGGGAGAGCAAGAGGAGCTGCACAGCTCTGAACTGACTTGGAATCTGCCAGGAGTAACTGGGACAGTGGAAGGTGTCCCTGCCCATGGCAGGGGTGGCACTGGGTGGGCTATAAGGTCCCTTCCAACCCAAACCATTCTGTGATAAAATGAGGCATCTTCTGGTAAAAATTGACCAATAAGAAGAGCTGAGTGGGAGCTGAATTTATCCCTAAAATAGGATCTTCTTGTAAATTTGAAAGTCAGAGAAGTAGATCAGTGGTTTTTACTGATATATAATGGTGCCAGCTTTGTGGTTGGATGCATTCTTCACCCCCAGCTTGTTACCAGTCACACTTGTTTGGTCCAGATGATGGAATAATCCATTGCACCATGTGCCTGGGTGATGAGATGTGATAAGGTCTGAAATGCAGTGTTGAGTAGTGCAAGCTGGCTCTTCACAACCCTGCTGTCAGTTACTTAGCTCTCAAATTAAATAAAGATTGTCTGGAGTTGCAAAGAAGTCTCAGGGCAAATTATAGGTGGTAAAATAGGAATAAGCAGTCTCATTTCCCTTAAAAAATAATCAAGTTTTCCTGCAACAAAGGCACTTTATGTAACTACTGAGAGTAAATAAGGATCTATGCATGGAAAGCTGCAAAGCTTTAATTAGTGATGCAATCTTATCAAATGAGTAACACAGAGATTTTAGAGCATGGTGATCTCTTTTAAAACACCAACTTTTTAGCATGTTTTTGGTGTGGGTTGTTTTTTTTTAATTCTTCAAATAGTAAAAGCCAATCAGTCCTTTCAGTGCCCTGAAGTTAATGTGTCTTCTTCCTCCCCTCCACCCCTTTTCTTTTCTTGCAGAGTCGAACAACTGTGAATTGCCTCTGTTAACCCCGTGCAGCAAGGCTGTGATGAGTCAGGCCCTGAAAGATACTTTCAGTGGTTTCACAAAGGAACAGTGTCGGCTGGGTATCCCAAATAGTAAGTGTTTGCTATTTATAAGCTCTTTTTTTTTTTTTTCCCTTTTAATGCTAAGGAGGAGGCTGAATAGCTGCTCTTTGAAAAGGAAAGAATGATGTCAGTAGGAAATACAAGAATGGATCCTATGTGAATCTGGCACAGCTTGCCTTGGAGAGGCCAGACTTGCTGGTGTTAAAAATGGGTGCATGGAGAGCTCATGCTTTGGCAGCAGGAGAGAGTCAAGCAAGCTGAGGGCATCTCTGGTTGCAAGTGAATGCAGAAAGAAAAGAGAGGACTGGGTTGTTTGGTTTTTTTTTTTATAAATTCAAGAATACATTCATTCTGAATTCATTCAGGACTCAATAACTTGGCTAAACAATTTTAGGGTTTTTTTAATTCACTATTTTCTAAGGAAGATTATTTGACAAGGGCCAGGAGTTATCTCTAAATGTTGGACCCTTCCTGTCTTGCAGATCCCTGGCTGTGGACTGAACAACAAGTTTGCCAGTGGCTTTCATGGGCTACCAATGAGTTCAGCTTGGCAAATGTGAATTTCCATCAGTTTCTTATGAGTGGCCAAGACTTGTGCAACCTGGGCAAGGAGCGTTTCCTGGAACTGGCACCTGACTATGTGGGTGATATTCTGTGGGAACACCTGGAACAGATGATAAAAGGTAGTTAGAGAGCCAGAAAAAGCTTTTGGTTTAGGGCTCTCCTAACAGAAACAGAAATGGGACTCGATTTCAACACTGGTTTCACTATGAAGGGTTTTATTGCATATGAAAACTCAAAATGAACTTTAAAACTTGCTTAATAACAGCATTATCAGCACTGTCAGTACATCCCTGGTATGCCAAGCACAGATGCAGATGGCTGCAGACATTCTGTGTGCAGGCTAAATACATCTGTGGGCAGGTTTTATTTGGGAAGATCATTGGAATAAGTGAGATTGGAGTATGGCCACTGTAAATACCCCATAAATAAAACAGTTAACCCCATAAATACAGGGTTAACCAACAGTTGGACCTTAAAGAACATTGCAATTGTTGTTTTTAAGTTTAATGGAAAAATTCAATTGGTAATGATGGTTTTAAAGGCTGTTGGAAGTTGGTTGGGGTTTTTTGATTTCTGTCATGAGAGAGAATGCAGTACAAATAGAGTGTGTCACTAAAATTTTTGTGAATGTACCAAAATCCTCCCAAGAATCAGGAGCTTTCCATGGCATACAGGTTGGATCTTTAAAACTATAAACTCAAATTTTCTCTTTTTCTCCTCTCCCCAGACAGCCAAGAGAAAACACAGGATCAGTATGTGGAGAACTCTCACCTCACCTCAGTTCCTCACTGGGTCAATAATAATTCCTTAAGTAAGTATTTTTAAAAATTCATATTTTTGCATCTCTCAGTTTATTCTGAGCATGTCACAGATTCAGGGTAGAAACAAAAAGCACCAGAATAGTTACTGTGCTTGAGGAGAACATTTGACTTCGGCTCCTCCAGCCTTCTTTCCTTGTATTGTTCAATTGTCACCTAATTTATATCGGAAATCGTTTGAAGAGCAAAGGCTTTGGGAAAATGAAATTTCCTCTTGCTATGCCAAGCCCTCCATCTGTGGAGCACAATAACCACTCCCATCTCTAGCAAACAGGCAAAAACTGAGAAGCATCAAGAATTCTGTTCAGGCCTTTTTAAAGGCTCTGGGAGTGTGCTAGAGCTGTTGGGAGTGTGTGGGATGCAGTGCTGGCTCCCTCGGATTGTTTGATTGATGGTGTGTTTTATTCTGCCACAGTCAGGCTTCAGCTCAGCCTGATTACACCACTTAATGGGGGAGAGCCTTGCTCAAAACCACTTAAAACTTCCCCAATTTTTTTTCTGTAGTTTCCTTGAAGAATGAACAATGGGCATTTGTGGCTGGCAAGTTAGAGAGGGGGATTTGCAGAATCTGATTTGGTGTATTTAGTGTATTAGTTTGTTTAAGCGTCTCCAGGGGAAAAATCATCTAATTCTTTGGTTTCTTTTTTCAGCTGTTAACGTAGATCAGAATTCCTATGGAATGCAGATGCCTGGATACCCTAAACCCCTCAGTTATCCCAAACCCAGTCTCCTGACTGACGTCTGTCAGACTTCCACGGCACCGAATCTCCTCAACCCAGAACAAGACTTCCCATTGTTCCCTAAAACCCAAGCAGATGCTGTTGGTGTGAACTACTGTGCAGTAAACCAAGATTTCCCAAGGAACAATCTCAATTTGCTGATGGATAACTCTGGTGAGTGGTTATCTGCATGATAACCACGGGGGCCAAGGCCATGATCTGAATGCCTCTTCCTCCTTTGCATTATTTATATGGATAGGCTGGATTGAGGGAAAGAAACCATCAACACTGTCTTTTATTTATTTTTATTTTTCTATATTTTATTTATATATATATATATATATATATATATATATATATATATATATAGTTTTATTTTTATAGATTTTTTATTTTATATATTTATATATTTTTATATATTATATATTTGTATTTTATTTATTTTGTTTTATGTGATGAAGGCAAGCTGAGGGAGCACGAATCCAGTGACAGTGGTGCTGAGAGCTATGAGAGCTCAGATTCCATGCTGCAGTCCTGGAACAGCCAATCCTCCCTGGTGGATTTGCAGCGTGTGCCATCCTATGAGAGCTTTGAGGATGACTGCAGCCAGTCCCTGTGCCTGAGCAAACCTACCATGTCCTTCAAAGACTACATTCAAGAGAGGAGTGATCCTGTGGAGCAAGGGAAACCAGTTATACCAGCAGCCATCCTGGCTGGCTTTACTGGTGAGTGGTGAGGCAAAATGGTCACTCCTATTTTTAATGTAACATCAGTGTTCAGTCCAAGTGTGTGCCATGAGAGGTACAGACCACTAGTCACAAATAATGTCAATTTTTAATGTTACTAAACAAAGTCTCGGGGATTATCCACCCAAAGCAAGAACAGGCAGGCATGTCAGATCAGGTAAAAATCAAATGGACTTTTTGATCTGTTTGAAAAAGAGGGGAGCTTGGACAAAATCTCCCAGATTTGGAAATTCCCACAGGTGTTGTTAAGGCCTTGTTGCTGTAGTCCTTGCTGAAATTGGTTTTTTCCTGTAGGATGTTTGCCAAGCCAAAGACTTCAGGACAAGCCCTGGAGCTCAAAATGCAGCTGTTTGGGAGGTGGGAGTGAGGGTTAAAGGATCCATATGAGAGGGAAAGCCAGAACTTTGTCAAATCCTTTGTTTCCATGAAAAACATGACTTCATTTTCCCATGGGTAATAGCAGGTTTGTGCTATAGAGTAAAACCTTAGGTTTCTTTCTGATCTATAAAAAAGATAAATCAGATTAATTACCAGGTCTATGATACAAGTCTGGTCACATACATTGCTTGTGGTTAGAGCTGGCAGAGGTATTAATTTGTGGTTTTTCTGTCTCCTCTTTCCCAACAGGCAGTGGACCTATCCAGCTGTGGCAATTCCTTCTGGAGTTACTGACTGACAAGTCCTGTCAGTCATTCATTAGCTGGACAGGAGATGGATGGGAATTTAAACTTGCTGACCCAGATGAGGTATGTGGCTAATTGGGGTGAAAACAAAAATATTGGGGTCTGATCTGACCTCTGTGGGCCCAGTCTTGGATATAATGTGTATTTAGCTGCACATCAAAGATGGTAGTGCTGCTTTTGAAGTATTTTGGGAACTTCATTCATTAAAAGTGATGCATTTTCATGTTCTGATACTGTTTCCAGTAGGAAAATTATTGTATTAAGAGATGGCATAAAAAGTCCAGTGAAACTTTTAGATTAAAAAAAAAAAGAAAAAAGAGGGGAGAGGAATCATGAACTCCAAGGGACTTCATAGCATTGAACTTCTAGTAAAGAGTTGTTCCCTGCTGCCTGATAGCTAATCAGTGGTAAAACAGTGGTTTTTTGAGAGAGCAGATTGTGTCAGAGCTCCAGGAGTGTTTGGGCAAAACTCTCAGGCACAGGATGGGATTGTTGGGGTGTCTGTGCTGGGACAGGAGCTGGGTTTGGATCCCTGGGGATCTCTTCCAGCTCAGGGTGTTCTCTGATTCCTGGGCTCATCCTGTGCAGGGTCAGGAGCTGCACTGGTGGTGGAGTCACTGTCCCTGGGGGTGTTTAAGGATTAAAGACTGGATGTGGCACTCAGTGCCATGGTCTGGATACCAAGGTGGTGGTGGGTCATAGCTTGGGCTTGATCTCAAAGGTCTTTCCCAGCCTGGTTGATTCTGTGACTCCTCTCAGCTCAGGATATTCTGTGTTTCTCGGGGTGGTCCAGTGCAGGGCCAGGGATTAGACTCTGGTCCCTGTGGGACACTGCCAGCTTGGGATATTCTGTGATTTCTGCCTAAACCTGACCTCCTTTAGCATGTTTTGGCCCATCCCCTACAAACTGGTGTCTGTCACAGTGAGGGTGGCTGTGACAAACCTCTCTGGTTCTCTGACTTCAGGGTGAGGCTGGCAAAAATGAGAAGGAGCAGGTTCAATGGGGTTGTCCAAAAGGAAATTTATTGTAAAGGGTGAAAACAACGAATGTGGAGCACAGAATGAGGGGCAGGATCCCCAGACCTGAGATAAAGGGGAAGCAACAATATATACAGTTGGGGTAGAACATTCTAGAACAATAACCATAGAGGGGAAACAAGGGGAGCAGAAATCTGGACAAAAGCCAATAGGGGAGTGGAACATGGACAACTTAGCATAACAACACCAAAGGCTTATGGGGGAACTCTCAAGCTCACCCTGAGTTAAACAAATGATTCCCAGGGCTTGAAACTCAAGCCTGGGTGTTTTGGAGATAAATCTGCCTGACTCTGGGCCAACTTCCACTTTGCTGTCAGCCACCTTCTCCTGGAGCTGCTCTTGAGGTCTCTTGTGGGATCAGTCACCAACTCCTCTCTTGCGAGGCTGGGCCACCCAAAACAAATAAAACGCTCTGACTGAGAAAGGGTTTTCTTTAATCAGCCACTAAGAAGAAGAAGAAAAGATGAGCAAATGTTCAATGAGTTTTTCTTTCTGGCAGGTGGCACGGCGCTGGGGGAGGAGGAAGAACAAGCCCAAGATGAACTACGAGAAGCTGAGCCGGGGCCTGCGCTACTACTACGACAAGAACATCATCCACAAGACGTCGGGCAAGCGCTACGTGTACCGCTTCGTGTGCGACCTGCACAACCTGCTGGGCTACGCCCCCGAGGAGCTGCACGCCATGCTGGGCGTGCAGCCCGACACCGAGGACTGATCCCCGAGCCTGGCAGTGGATCTGGAGTCACCAGCGGTGGGGACAATGGCCGGGAGCCACGGCAGCCAGGCCCGCCGCGCTCGGGGAGGCAGAGCGGGAGCTTCATCCATTGTGGGAGGGGAGCGGCCGGTGGGGCTCTGGGGAGTGGGCACAGCCCTGGATGCTCCTGGGGGCAGCGTTTCAGCTGCCTGCCCTGCCCCACGCGGCGCTTTGACACTGCCCTGGAAGGATGGGTTGGCTGTGGAACCAAAGGTTGGCTGTGAGAAACCCAGCGGAGCTCTGGCTGGGATGTTTTTGAAACACCGCCGTCCTCATGCAGTTTATTTAAAAACAAACACAAACTAATTTATTTGAAATGAGCAGTAAGGAGAACCGGTATAAGTTTTGTTTTAAAGCACGTTTTGTTATTGTTATTATTATTGTTACTACTCCAGAAATTTGCTGCATAGGTACATAAACACTCTCGTGTGCAAAACCAGATGTAGCAACCATTAACAGAAAAAAACCCCACCCTTTCAAAAGAAGGGAAGGAAAATCATACCATTTCAATATTCAGTTTGTATATATTCTGTGATTCCTTTGGAAACTCTGATGTTCCTATTTAACAGATACTGTATAGTGTAAATTAAACTAATTGTATGTGTGCTTTGAAATAGGATGAATGTAAACTTATCAAATGTGGGGAGGGGGGGGGGGGGGGGTTCATGTTTGTCTAGGATATACAACCTTCTGCAAATATTTAATTGGCCTGAGAGACAGCAGAAGTTCTATGCTCAGTGTGCATGCATTGGGGGGGGCAGGGAGGGAGGTCAGGCTCAGGATTTTGCCAGGACTGAAGCTGGCAATTCTTTGTGCATTTTGGCATTTTTACAGGAAACTAATGTTGTATTCTGGGACATAAAAGGGCCTGTTTGTGGTTTCTTCTGTAACTGAAAAATAAAAATATTAATATGGGTAAAATTACCTTTTTTTCTTTATAAATGGCATATGTTTTTCAACTTCTATGCATGTACTTTTAAAAAAAATTTATATACAAGCCTTATTTTTTCAGTTCACTTGTCTCTTCCTGCAGTTTATTCTGTATGATTAAAATATGAATTCTATTTTTGGAAATAACTGTGACTCCTTTTCAAAGATCAGGAGGGTTTTATGTAGCAGCTATTTTTACTGCAAAAAAAAAAAAAAAGAAAAAAATCACTGGAAAAACGTACTTTGTAAGAAAGCTTTATTTTTTATCTGAGCTTGATGTACAGTTAAATGTGTTGTACAGTGTGAGAGGTTTAAAAATATGACTCTTCATTAAAACCTCTTGAAAAGAAAATTTTGTGTGTGCTTTTTGATCTGGAAAGTTTCAGAGTCCCTTCTTTGTTTGTTGGTTGGTTCAATCCTTGTCCACCCTTCACCACCCTCAACAACTGCAGGATGAAAAAACTAACCCAAAAAGAAAATAACCAGCCAGGCTTGGGGCTTATTGGAGAAGATACTGCAAGAATGTGGAGGCTGGTCTGGAGCTGAGCTGGATGGATGCAACCACTCTCTCTGGATAGAAATTGGAGTTAACACCTTTGTGTTGTGCCTCTGAAAGAAAACTGGCAGCTCTGTGGTGTGAAGGAGGTGGGGGAAGATATGGAAAAACACAGGTGGGAAGACAACTTTAGCTTGAACTGTTCCTATCCTGTGCAATGGAACCCTGCTGTCTGCATCATCCTCTTCTTCATCCCTCCACCTTCCAGACAAGAAACATTTACCACACTTTTAAAAAGTGAAAAATGTAGATGTTAAATAATGCTGGCCCTAAGCCTCTTGATCTTTCTACCAAACTGTGTCTTGCTGTTGCTTTTGATGTAGTCACCCTGTGAAAAACCATGGGCTTGGGGTTTTTTTGGGAATGTGCCTTTCTAAATGGGAGGAGTTGAGAGGGTAGGCCCCTGGTCAGCCCTAAACAGCTGCAAACTTAGTTTTCCTTGTCCTTCAGCCTCAGTTTTCCTTGTCCCTGCAAAAAGGAAATAAAAAAAAGAATAAAGGAATTAAAAAAAGGAATAAAAGGAAAATAATCATAGAATGGTTTGGGTTGGAAGGGACCTTAAAGATCATCCCCTTCCAGCCCCTTGCTGTGGACAGGGGTAGTGCCACATGTGGTCCTGATCCTGAGGGAATTATTTATTTTGTGGGAAAATAAAGAATGGGCTGTCAGGGTGAATGTGAGATTTATTTTTTTCCCCTTTCTCACACCACGGCTGCAGAGCACTAATTGTCTTCTCAACCTGGTCAAGTCCCATTTGCAGCCTTTTTTTTCCTCTGAACATGGAATTATTTCTTTATTTAGACTGAAACCATGGTTGTCTCTTGCGTGGGTGATTGTTGAAGACCCCAAATTAGAGGCTAAAGGAAAGTTGTTTATTTTCCTCCCCCAGCAGAAAAAAGAAATTTCATGGTAGTAGAAGCATCCTGGTCCATGCAACCCACACTAGGGTGTTTGGCAGAAGCAAAAATGTTCCAGCAAAAACATTGGAAGGGGCTGCCCAGGGGGGTGGTGGGGTCCCCATCCCTGGAGGTGGCACTCAGTGCTCTGGGCTGGGGACAAGGTGCCCATGGGGCACAGCTGGGACTCAATGATTTTGGAGATCTTTTCCAGCCTCAGTGATTCTGTGTGATCCATCCCATGAAAACCTGCTCTGCTGCACTGGATGGGGTCCACACAGGGGTTCAAGCTGTAGCCCAGGGTGACCCAGCAGACAATCATTAAAGGATATTTTGTCCCAGCACACACAGAAAGCCCTGCTCTGTGTTCTCAGCCACCCAGCATCAAAGAGGCTGTTGAAAGCAGTCTGGCTGAATTCTTCACCTTCTTCAGGACATGCCTCCCTGTGCTCCCAGCTGCCAGCTTTCCTCATGAGACTGCAATCAAAATAAAGTCCTGCAGTTGGCACCTACCCATGGCTGGCATATCACCTCTAATAACAGAGTTTGACTTCAAAGCCTTTGCTTTTTTTTTTTTTTTTATTAAAAACAAAACAAAAACAAAAACAAAAACAAAAAAAAAAAAAAAAAAAAAAAAAAAAGAGAAAAAAGTAGAATTCCATCCCAAGTAAAACACCACCTGTGGGTTGGGAAATCTCTGAGCTACAAATGCTCAGTGTCCAGGGGACTTTTCTGGGAAACATCTGTCAGCTGCTCCTCATTCTCACACTCACCCTAGGTCTGAGCTGTGTGCCACAGCAGGTACAGGTGAGGAGTGAGGATGGGGCAGATGATGGATCCCTTATCCCAGTGCTTTATCCTTTCTCTGGAGGCAGGAGGATTGAGCAAACCTGGCCACTCCCTGCTGGTGGCTCCCCAAGTGAGCCCCCATCCCCTCACAGTGCTCAGCCTCTTGGAAGGGACACCCTGCCTGTTTCTTTTCCTTTCTAACTTTGGAATTTCTCACCTTGGCCAGCCTAAAAGGAAGGAGCCCCTTGGCCACTCTCTGCTGATTTGTCCTCAAGCACTGGAGGCCAGCACCTCAGCCAGGCTCTGAGGTGAGGGCACACCAGTGTTGTGCTCTGCAGAAAAACAAAGCTGTTTTAGCTGTACCCTGATGCTATTTTGCCTTTTTGGCAGTGCCTGCACCCTGAGCTGATGATTTCAGAGAGTTGTCAGCAATCCATTTCCTGGTAGCTACCATTTCCAAGTTTAGCATCACATACACTCAGCTTAGGTTATTTTTCCTTGGGTGGATTTCTTTAAACCAACCTACACTGATGCTCACCTGCCACCTGTTTGTGTGCTGTGAGGCCCTCCTGGAGTTCCTCACCAGTACTCTGCCATTTGGCTACTGAAACTACTCAGCATTATCTGCAAACCTGGAGGTTTCTCAGCCCTGAATTTCTGGCCCTGCTGGCTGTTCATGTGCCAAGGACCAAAGGGATGGATATTCAGCCCTTCTGGTTTTAGTTCCCATCTCCTCCATGGCTCTTTTGGTGCCCTTTCCAAGGATGACCCAAATTTTGACAGGGTCAAGAATTGCCAGACCTTAACCATGTGATGGATGCAGGATTTTGCTCTTCTTCTGTTTCTAGTTCCCATCACTTGGCCATGTGATGGTTGCAGGATTTTGCCCTTCTTCTATTTCTAGCTCCCATCTCTTCCATGGCTCTTTTGATGCCCTTTCCAAGGATGACCCAAATTTTGATGGGGTAAAGAATTGCCAGACCTTGGCCATGTGAGTTTATCTTGTGTCTCATGTTTCTCTGTTTCTCTGTGTGAAGTGGAGCACAAGTTGAACCCCCTGTGTTCCCAGCACCATGTGACTGCAGCGATGTTCATATGCCAGACATATGAATGCTCAAAAGGCTAAAGAGGGAATAAAAGGTGTCCCTGTAAGCCAGAAGAATGAAAAAGTCACCCTGGGGCTCACAGCCTTTGGGAAAGGTAGCCAGGAACTCATGTCCAATGTTTGCCATGTGATGTGCCCTCTGCAGCCACACAATCAGTGAGGTTATTAAAAATAAATAAGATATGCTGGTCAGTAACAGCTTAATTTGCTCCGTGCAAATTGAGATTTTCAAGTGATAAGCTTTTGGATATGAATAAAGAAGTTATTAAGTAATTCTGTGCTTTGGGGAAGAAGCATCAGAGCTTGACATTTTTTTTCCTTCTGTCTCTACCTCTCTTGGCATTTACAACGAGGTGAATGATGAACTCAACAAAATATGAGTAGCAAGTATAACAAATGTAATGAAACCTCTGCACACGCAAAATGTGGGAGTGTTGGAAGATATTTTTCCCAGCTGCTGTGTAGATAGCTAGAAAAAATGTCCAAAATCCCATATATAGAATGTTTACCATGGTTTTCTGCATCATGAGCTAAAATGAGAGAGCAAATGCAGAAGTCCTGATACAATTCCTCTAAATTCTGCATACCCAAAACCTGTTTGTTCTTTATTGTCTTTCACTATGAGCAGAGCCAGAAGGGAAAATGGGTTTGTCTGTGCATTCCTTGGGCTGTGGAGAGAAATCCAGAGCTCAGAGGGAGGTGGGTAAGCTGAGCCAAAATCCTGTGGTTTGGGAATGGAGGGAGATCCCACCACAAGTGTGTATGGGGCTGGCTCACCCCTGGGCTTCCCTCC